AAAAGCAGGGTGACTGCAGGAACAGCATGTCTCATCACTATGATTATAGAGGGTTCTGGGGTGACTAAATGACACTGAGCAACACCAAGCTCCCTAACTTTTGAGATTCAAACATGCTTCTTCGGTCTGCCAAAGCCATTAAAGAGATGATTTGCAGGAAAACCTGTTTTCTTACAGCATTGAGAAAGGAGCAACACCAGAGTCAAGGATGCTACCTGGATTCCTTCTTCCCCATGACTATAAATCTCACCCAGATTTTTCAGCACTACTTCATACTCCTGCTTCAGCATTTGAGCTTCACTGCAGACCATTTTGTGGGGAGACACAGCAGACAGCAGTGTATATTGAAGACATGGTGTTCTGTTTCATCTCTTGAATAACTTCTTTGAGAACAAGATGACCAGTTTGTAAGCCATAGCCTTTGCTTTCTTCTCAAAGGCATCTGTTACTGGTTATATGGGAGAAACTCCTCAGCCAGGCAGAGCCCTGGCTGACTCCAGAGATAGATCCAGGTAAGATCAGTCTGGCCAGCTAGGAGGACTGTTCACTTTGCCTGCACCAGGGACAGGAAAATGGGGGGCATTTCTCTTCTTCAGCTGTCTCTGTTGCTTGTCCAGTGTGATAAGATACATGAAAGCCTAAGGTGTAGGGTTTGTATGGGAGAAGGTGACTGCTGCTGTTGGGGACTGGACATGCATATCTGTACCATCAGCCCTGCTGTGGGGACAATCACCTTTGGCAAAAGAACACCATGCACACTTGGCCCGACAGTTGCCATATCTGAGACGTGGCCCTGTGTTTCTGTTCCTTGGGGAGCAGATCTGATTAAAGTGACTCCCTGGCCCTGCGAGCCTGCAGAGAGTGGGTGCATGAGGCTGTGCCAGCCCCACCAGCCCCAGTTACTCATGCACAGCCTGAGTCACTGCTTGACATCACTCTACTGAATACTGAAACAGGGAGGGGACAAATGGCAGCAGAGGGGACGCCCGGAGGAGGAAGTCAGGCATGGCTACCAGTGACCCACTGCTCACATGGAGCAGGCCAGGCGGGATGTAGCTTTTTCAGGGGACTTGCTTCAGAAAAGGCAGCCACAGTGCAACAGTAAGTGTTCCACACTTACAAGAACCTTACAAGGTGCTATGAATTCCCTGTTCTTCACAGCTGCCTCCTGCCACCCCAGGAGACCAATCCTTGTTTTCTTGGTCCATGGAAAACTTGAAAGGTGTGGGAGCTAAACACCTCTGCCTCCAGAGCCTGGAGCAGGATGCAACCCAACACAGCCCCACCAGCTAGCAGAGTGCTCCTCTCTGCCTCCAACCAGTCCCCAGCATCTCCTGCTCCAGCTGAGGGAGGGGAATCCATTTACCACCTTTGTGCCACAGAAAGGGCTACAGGGCTTGTGGGGAGAGGGTGAAGCCCTCCTAAAGAAACTCCCTGTTTGGTGAGGTTGGTCCTGGCACCAGATGCCAAAAGGGGAGCTTTTTTGGCAGCTAGGGAGCATTTGGAAGGTGAACTCAACAAGGTCCTTCCCCATGCCAGGCCTTGGCACTGCTGGCCTGGTGCTGTGCCCCAAGGGTTTACCCCTGTGCTGGGTACATGGAGCCCTACAGCCCTGGCAAGCTCACAGGATGGCAAACCTGATGGGCCTGGGCCCGAGCCATGCCCCTGCCCTTCCTTGCCCTTTTCCCATGACATCCCTGACCTGAAGTTCAGCTGAGTTTATCCTGCTTCCTGATAATCCTGGCTGCTTTCATAATCCAGGTGCATTCTGTGCCAGCTCTTCTCTGGCATGTGCTTTTCTGAAGCTCTGATCTCCTTGAACAGGCAGAGGAGGGACGAGAAACCAGAGGGCCCTGAAGGCAGTGGATCTGTAGCCCTCACTACCAAGGGAACCCTTGTCAGGGGAGAGGGTGAGCAAAAGCCTTACAGGTTTTTTTGGCCTTCCAGAGGGCAGATTTTGAAATAGAACAGGACAAGGATGAGGCAACCTTCCTGCCTCCTCCATTCACTTTTTCCTTTTAGGTCCAGCCTGTCTGGCCCCACCAGTTTAGGATTTCCCCAGGACCTGTTTGTGTGTGACTAAGTGGCTTCCTGGTTTAGTTTAAGCTTGGTTTTACGCTAAGGGGGAACTGCTGCTTTCCCAAAAGCCTCTCCTGAGGTGCAAGAAACCTGCAGAATGGCACCACCCCTTCCCACCAGCGCCAAGTTCCACAGAATTTGTATTTAATTTGGCATTTAAATCAGCCCTCACACAAAGCTGCCTCAATATTGAACCAGTGCAAAACAACTGTATCATGATGGAAGTCATGATTGCTCTAAAAGGTGCTGTAAATCCATGGAAGGTGATTGTCACTCTCTGCTGAGAAGCATGCACAGTAACAACAAAGAAAATCTCCATGTCCAGAATCAATGCGAGTGCATATGCACTCCCTCATTCCTCCAAGTTCTGGTGCTTCTGGGGACAAGGTGCATTTGGGAGACATTTTCTGCTCTGTGGCAGTCAGTGGAGAAGTTGGTAAGTGTCTGGGATGTGCGAAACACACATGGTAAAACCACACTTTGCTCCTATTTCCCTGTTAGCCTGTCCCTTTGCTCCACTAAACTCCTCTGAAGCAGGGAAGCTGGCTCTGTTTTAACATGTATTTGGCTCCTCATGGACATAGTCTAGCTGCATTTTAGCCATCTATGGCACCACATCAGCTCAAAAACCTATTTCTTGAAAGTCAGGTATTGTTTCAAGCACATCCCTCCTACCTTCAGTCTGCTAGTCAATAACTTGTATCATGGCTTCCCATACCCCCTTCCCAATCTGCTCTCCAACATTACATTAGTACCCTTGAATTTTCTCTCCCATCCTCCAAGGTACATGTGTGGAATTGTGTAGGTGAAGGGGAGAGTGGGGGAGGGTGAGCATAATTTGCATTTCAAATTAACTAGAGAAATGTGTCCTGTGACACATTTCAAACCAATGCCTTGGAGGGCTCTTTCTCTTGCAAAGGGATACTGAAGACCCAAATGTCCCTCCTGTGTTGCCCATCACTGCTGGTAGGCAGAGTAGCAAAGGCCCAGCCTAGCATATTCTAGACATCACTGTGCCTGAGGAAGGGGGTTTGCTTCCAGGAGCATAAGGATATGTGGTAGAATAACATACCATGGAAAAACTCATGGGAGAGGAAGCCTCTAAAATGAGACATTACAGCCTTATACCTTCAGGAGGTTTTAAAAAAATAAGATGATGATAATCATCATCATAATTTTGCTTTGATATTGTTTCTACTTTAAAATAAAAAAATATTATGTGTCCAGAACATTGGAAAGACATTTTTACAAGCTGAATTAAATGTCTACAAGCTCCTTTCCTATTCTTGATTATACGAGTACCCAGAAAGACTAAAGCAAATAAATACAGGAATATAGACCCAGCAGAGACAGACACATGCAGTGATGAAAAGATCACATCCACTATTCTGCATTTTCTTTCTGTGGCTTGGGTTTATATTTCTTCATTTCTTAAGCACTTCTAACATTGAATCAGCTTTCTTTATTCAAGAAAAATAGAATGGAGAAGCTACTAACTCTCTCCTGCACCCTCAGGCATCTGATCCACAGTGACAGCTTCAAAGAAGCTGCAATCTCTTTGCCATATTTTCCCCAACTACAATCTCCCAGCTGGACCACTCCAACCCATGAGCTGTTGCTGTCACCTCATCAGCCATTAGAGGAATCGTACTCTTGAGGAAGAACACCAGTTTCTCATTGTCAGGCTGTTTGGGTTTTTATTAATTAAATATTCCACGTACAAAGTACTAAATAAATACATAGTTGTGTCAGACACCAGTGTACCATACAGACCCACTTGGGGAGCTCCATGTATTTATATATGAAATACCATGGAAAGCTATTTACCAAATGTGAAGGAGGCTACAGAATGATTCAAGACTGCAGCCTCCTCGCTATTGCCAGGGTGCAGTCCACACAGCACATACACACACACATGTACACACACATGCACAAGCTCCTGGGAAGAAGGGTGTTCACCCTCCATAACCTGCTCGCTTGGGAAATGCTTGTGTTAATGCCACAGACACACTCAGGAGGCAGAGCTCCGAGGTGCACGGGATTAGATCCCACAAGAGTATTGAAGGCAGCTGCATGGAAAAGGTTTTGTCCGCAGGGATCCACAGCCTGGAGGGCAGGGGGGGGGGAGGGTTGGTGAGGTTGGGCAGGCACCCTGGGGAGCTCAGCTGGGGTGTGTGGTCAGAGCAAGGAGGGAGGCTGATGCTATAGCACAAATCAGAAAAATTGTCAGGGTAAATAGGTGTAATGCTTTTATGTCTTTAAATTTTCTTCCCCCTCTCCACCGTGGTGATGAGGAGGGAGTTGGAAGTGAACATGAAGAAGAAAAAAAGGAATATTCTTTCTCTCTCTGTCTTCTCCAGTGATCTTTGAAGGAGAGTCAGGCAGGGCTGGGAGTGGGCACAAAAGTAGTAGTGGATAGATGAGGGAGCCTTGGTAGTACCTGAGATGTGTTTGCGGATGGGAAGGTGTGGGGATATGTAGGTCTGATGAGCCTGTTCCTGTCTCTTCTCCCACCAGACACGGGGAACAGCCATCCCTGCAAGCTGATCAAAGCGAGTCTTGGCTGGGGCAGAGCCAGTTGCAGACCCAGATGATGATCTTCCTGCTGCTCTAGCCCTGCAGGCAAAAAAACCCTGCTGAAAATAGGCCAGGACAGCCTCTTCCCAGCGTGTTCCTCTGTCAAAGAGATGAGCTTCCTCCCATGGAGAAATGAATGGAGTGAGGACAAGATGGACAGAACAGTGTTTGAAAGCTGTGTTTGAGGAAAGAGAGGGGGCTACAAGAGTGCCTGTGCAGGGAAATGAGGACCCCTCTCCTCTTCTTGTCAGTGTCAGTTGACTCTGTCTCTTCTGCAGGATCAACTCACTTGTCACCATGTGGCCCATTCCTCATGCTTAGTCTCTTGTCTCCCTGCAGAGCTGCTACATGGCGCCTTTCCCACCAGTGTAGTCATGGTATGGGCTTGTCCGGGCCTTGGGCCGAGGGATGGAGAAATCATTTTTCAGTTCAATGGTCTGAAAAGGAAGCAAGAAAACCTCTACCTTTCAAAACTCGAGAGAAGTAATAGAATAGGGCTTCAAAACAAAACAAAACAGGAGAGGGAGAAACAGGTTTCCTGAGAGTGTCATCAGTGGGGTTGGGGAAGAGGATGCTGGCAAAACAAACCAGTAATAGAGACATGTCACCAGAGGAGCTACTAGACCTAGCTAAGATGTGGTCTGAAGGAGGACTGGTGAATGGACATGGGGACATGCAGACTGCCCACTCTGGATCTGCACTGCAGCTCCCAGTGACAGCTGGTGGGAATACGTTCAGGGCACAGGCTGGGGAAAGGAGCACATTCTCCTGAGAAAAGGGCACAGTCTACTGCAGGAACCGTGTTCTAAGAGAGGCCTTCTTATGTGACATCAAATCCAGAAGTATTGAAAAACCACCACCTCAGACTTTGCGTTGGGCCTGGACATGTCACAGCTTTCTTCCCCCAGCCACAGGCACCTCCATGGACACCTATCCTGGTGTCCTACCTGGCTCCATGAGGAGCACCTCCCTGCCTCTACAGAACCTGCTCTAGGTCCGTCTGCCTTTGCCCCTTCTTCCCTTCAGCTCCTAAACAATACCTCACATGTGGTGAAACGGGTGAAGGGAGGGCTTGAACTTACCTTCATCGGAAGGTGAGAAGAGTATGGGGAGTAGCCGAGGACTTCTGTGTCTCCTGAGTCACGATACAAAAGGAGGGGAAAGTTAGTGAGTTAGCATTATATTGTAGCTTAGAAATACCACATCAAGGGAGAATCAAAGTGGCTAATTTAACAGCTGCTTGTAGACCTATCAAACAATGCAATATGCAGCCAGGAATGGGTTAAAATCCATAGGTGGGTGACTTATTAAATATTTCCTTCTGAAAGCAGGAATGAATGGTATTGTAAATAACAGGACATAGGAGGCCTTGGAGTTTAGACACCTCCTGTTGCCTCACAGTGACTGTCATCATAATTGGCCAAATCCCTCCCACTTGCAGGCACAAGATCCCCCCTGCGGTATTCCCTGGGAAGGCAAAGTCTTTCTCAGCTATTATTTTAGAAACCTTGAGGCCTGACTCCTGGGGAGAGTAGCAGATCCACAGGGGGTGCAGTCACATCTCCTAACCATAGATTTGGGAAGCCTCAACTGATAAAAAACATTTTGCTTTGTCCAAGTAGGCATGAGACTCATGGAGAAGAGTAAGAGTAAGAGCTCCTTGCCTTCTTTTTGGATGAGGGGTTTATTTTTAAATAGATAATGGGAATCATATCAAAATTGGAATAACAAATCTCTAAGGTTTAACCTAGAGAGGTCTGAAGAGCTGGAGCATGGCTAAGAGGCAAACAAAAAACCCCTGAATTTTTACACAGGCTTTCCAAACATAACAGCATCCTAGGGAGTAATGTCTCATCCCTGACACCCAGTAAGTCTCCAATTCAGTCACTCCTCCTACACATCCTTACCTTTTGCATTGGTTCTTACTCTTTTCCCTCTTGTCTGGAGAATAATTTTCACTTGCATTTCTGAAGTTTCATCAGTCTGAAACTTTTTTGTACCTCTAAATTACCCATATTTTCTTCCAGCCCCCCCTTTTTAACTCATGGTTGGTGCATGTGTGCTTAGGGCTGAGGGACAGTGGAGTCATTCACTTCATCATACCTTGCACAATCTCATCTTGGGTGTAAGCACGGTTGTCCACTCCAGTTGTCTGCTTTATGAACTTGGGTTGGCAGAAGTCATTTTCTGGAGGGTAGTCTTCCAGCTTCACAGGGGCAGTGAGGAAACAAATTTCAGGAACAATATACATTATCAGGAAGACCCATCCATTGGACACCAGAGCAATAGCCACAACAGGATCGTCCCAGGTAGGTCTGTTTAAAACCATGTTGCCTTTTAAGAGCATAGTGATCCACACTACCCAAATGGCAATGGAGAACAGGGCAGTGACAAAGATGTGTGCCCCGTGCCTCTTCCAGCTTTTGTATGACCCACAGAATGTGAACACAGAAACCAAGAAGGTCAGAGCCATCAAGAAGAGCACGTAGATCAAAAGCATGACAAAGTCCTTGTTGGTCTCCTCCGCAGACATGCTCAGAAATTTGTCTTTCTGGTTTACTAGCATGGTGACTAAGTACTCGGTGCTGATCACAGCTTGTACTAGGAAAAAGGAAACAATGAGGAGCAGCAACACGAGCCAGGAGAAGGGCTTTCTTCCTCTCACTAGTTTGTTGAGGTTGCAGGCCTGCGTGAGGAGGCATGAGAAGCAGAGAGCAAAGAGGACTCCAAATAGGAAGAAGCGAGTGGGGCGAGTCCTTTCATTGAGTTTAATGATGAAGGCAAAAGTGAGACCAAAAATGCCGAGTGTGCCTAAGAGAAAGAAGAAATAGACGGAAATCATGTGCCTCTTGCTGTTGTCTTGGACTTTACAGATGAGAAAGAAGAGTGAGCAGATGAGGAAAATGGTGATGAGGATGCCAGCTGCAGCCAGTGACTCCAGGACAATCCCCCAGGCCATCTCCATGTCACAGAGCAGGTAATAGTCAGCACCGATGCTGCTGCTGCTGCAGCCTCGGGGGACTGGCGTTGTCATCCTCTCACCTTCTTTTAACAAACTCCCTGTCAAATGTTTCACCAAAGCTGTAAAAGAAAAGACACAAGCTGTCACATCAAGCACACGGGCAGTGCCAGCAGTCAGGAAGGAAAGGCAAGCCAGACCTCCATCCCCACCTCACTAGGCAAGGAGATGACAGTGCTAAGGACACTGGGAGCAGAGCCACCCCCTTGTTTGGCATCAGCTCTCTAATCGAGGGCAAGCCAAGCCCCTGAGCAAGAGGCAATTCACCTTGCATGTCCTCTGCACTGTGCCTGGGGTTGTGCAATGTCGTAGGAGTGTGGGGAGCAGAGAGAAGCTGAGGCAATTTCGCAGGTGTTAGCTTGGTGCCCTGTAGCACAGAGACTGAGCTGCCTTGTCACTTTTGTGGCACAAGAGCAGCTGTTAGTCATAATGCAGCTTATGCTTTTTTGACAAATTCAAACAACATCAGTACCTTGTACCAGTAAGGTTCAGAAATAAACAAAGCAGAACAAGAAACTCATTATTTCTTTTCTCTCTTTTTCTTTCTCTGAAACACTCTTGGCTTTGGTTTATAGGTATGAATGAAGGGTAACTTCAACTGCCTTTTACCCTGCAGGTAACTAACCTGGATGCCCCCAGCATAGCTCTTCTCTCTTGAAATTAAGTAGCAACTACAGGCTGCCAACCATGAGCCCTAAATTCACATTCCTCATTCTTCGTAGCAGCACAGCAAAGACCTTTCTCTCAAAGACCTCTGTCTTCTCCCCAAGATACTGCTCTGCATGGGCTGGAGGGTTTACATGTCAGAGCTAATGCTGTTCATTGCATAAGAAGTAACCACTAAGTTACTGCTTGAGTCCACAAGTTAAGGATGGACAAGGTCTTTAACA